GAGACCCCTCTGCAAGGGGATCTCCAGTGGCCTACTAATGGGCTTTGGGTCTCCATTCCGCACTCCCCCCTCATTCACTATGGTAAGATTTTTTGTTCTGATGATTAATTTTTTATTTTTAAAACTCCCCGGTGAATCCAATAAGGAGCACCAAACACTGGGTTAAATGTTGGACTGCTAACTGAAAGGTCAGTGGTTCAAACCCACAAGCTACTCCTGGGGGTGGGCGTGAGAAGGAGGCAGCATTTCCTGGAAGAGTTGCAGCTGTGTAAATGTATTGGAGCCGTTCTACTCTGTCCTATAGGGGGCGGCGAGGAGTGGGAAGTGACTTCCCAGCGGTGGGTTTGGGTTGGTTCCAGTGTTCAGCCAAAGCAAGAGCCACAGCCCAGCGTCACACAACTGGCAAGGTTCAATACTCATCTCCAGTGACATCGGTAGGAGCAGTTCATGGTCCAGCACTGGCACTTCTGTGTGACTGTGGGCAGGTGACGTAACCTTTCTGAGCCTACATTTCCCCAGCCTCTTAATAGGGATAGTGCAGACAATACCGGCTTCATAACACTCATATGAAGATTAAATGAGAGTGCTTATTAAGCATCTGGCAGTGTCAATATGTGGAAGTGCTCTCTCGCTCTCTCTCTTTCTCGTCTAAGCTAAAGAAACCATTGATAATCTAGTACAATGTTTTCCCAGAATCAAATAGGATTTGAGGTTTCTTTCACACATATTTATCAGTTGCATGTTTATTTTCATGGTTACTTTTATGATGTGACACAACACTGGTCTTCCAGCTGCAGTAAGCCACACAGTTTCCTTTCACAGATCAGTCTGTGACAGCACAGGCGGCCAAGGAGGCCTCTGCTCTCTGGTACTGCTATCGCAGAAATGGGTGCTCTAGCAAACCAATGCCTTCCCTCGCAGTTGAAAGAGCCAGACGCCCAAATTCAGAGTGCCAACCCCAGGGGAAGCCTCTCTCTGCTGGCTCTGGGAGAAGGGCCTGGTCTTTGCAGCTTCTGCCTCTTGGTTTGTTGGAGATTTACATGGGACATCTACCCCATCTTACCCCCTCTCTGCTTGTAGCTCGAATTTAAGTTTTTATATCTCATAAAGGAGTGTGCCCCGCACTAATCCTACCTCACAAAGGCAACCCAGTCCCAGGGGGGTTATGGCCGCAGGCATAGAGAGGAGGGATTACAACACTTTGGGGGAGGATGCAGCTCCACCCAAAACAAAGGATAAAGCAAAGTGGATGGTATTTCCGTGGCTGAGATTTGGGAAACACTGGCTCTATTGTCCACCACCTCTTATCAATGAGGAGGTTCTGATGCATAGTGACTGGACAACACAATGGAACACCACCCGGTCCTGCGCCATCCTCACAAGTGTCCTTGTGTGCGAGCCCAGTGAGGAGACTTAACAGAGGGGCAGTACTAACAGGCTTAATACAAGTACATCATCTCCAACTCCCAATGCCAGATTCCCTTCGTGCCACTAGGTGCCTGGAAGTAGCTTTGGCACCGGGCACAGGTTTTCTGAGGAAAAGCTGCGGCTGGTTGTGGGAAGGACCACAGACCAGGCACTGAGAACTCCCTTGAGCAGAGGTGGGAGGGAGAGGGGGAGCCACGTGGAGGGCAGCAGAGTGGAAGCAGAGCAGAACACCAGGATGGATGGAGACCCTGAATCAGGAGAGAAGCACGGACCCTGGAGCTCCCGCTGACGGACGTGGAAGTCCCTGGAGGCCTCCGAGCAGGAGCCACATTCGGGAGGATTAAATAACCAGTAGCAAGATCCGAGGCTGGGCGCGACTGGACTCCTGGCGGAGGACTGGAGTGGACATGCAGGCTCGAGAGGGCCTCCGAAGAGCCAGAGCCTCCAGGTGCTTGACAGGCTGGCCCTGAGGGTGGATGCAGAGGAAGCAGCCGCCCAGAGGAATGAGAGACGCAAGGGGAGGAACGGAAACCAAGGAGGGCCAGAGTGGTGACAGGGCAGAAGGGACAGCAGAGGGACGGGGCATGGAGGAGCTCCTGTTTCAGGGGAGGTCACAAGTTCCCCGAGTTAAACGACCTGCCATCAGGGAGTTGGTTCTGGCTCTGAGGCACCCTAAGGTCAGAGGAGCCGAGTGCCTCATCTTTCACCCCTGGAGTAGCTGGTAGGTTCAAACCACTGACCTTTTGGTTAGCAGTCAAGTGCTTTACCACTGTGCCACCATGGCTCTTTTGCAGAGGATCTTAACTTTGCTGCGCCCCGGAGATAGCACGTGTCACTTTAGGCCATTATTTCGGCATTGGGAGGGACTTCTGCTTGCAGAGGTCCCGCCTGTCCCTGATGGGCTGACTCTGGGGAATTGGCCTCTCTGTCAGCCTGCTTTGTCCAACGCGGAGAGAAGCAAACCTCTCCCTCACGGAGTCTGTGTCAGGATTAACAGAGACAAGGCTCATCAAGTGCTAAGCATGGGCCTGGCAGAAGGCAGGGCATTTGTTGATCCCATCAGGACAGACACCTAGTGGGTACCACCTGTGTACCAGGCTCTGCACTGGGCACCAGCAATGTCAGCTGGATGAAGGTCGTACCTGGCCTTAAGGGGCTCTCAGGCTAGCTATGCCTAACCTCCCAAACCTGACCAGTCTGTCCCCCGACTCCAGCCTTGGGGAGTTCTAAGAACTCCAGCCACCTTGCTTTTCCAGGCACCCCAGCGCTCAGCAATGTTTCTGTGACTCTGGGCCTGGTCTCCCCGAGGCCACCGCATCCCAGAATTCCTCCCTCACCTGGAGCTGATGCCACCAAGAATAGAGTAGGTGTTTACTTTTGTAGCACCCACCCCTGGATCATTCCAGCACCCACCAGGGGAGCATTGCAATAGACAATAAAAGCATGTGTAGACAGCCCTTAGGATAGCATTTGACACCACATTAAATAAATATTGGCCGTTGTCATCTGATGCAAGAAAAACTCCATGCATCATACATGTGTCACAGAAGTATCATGTTTGGGACTACAAAAAAAAGCCAAGTACAGTGCACAGCTGACAATTCCCTCTCCTCTCCAGGACAGTCACTGTGACATTGACCTTCATGATGTCCTGACTATCTGGTTAATACTGCACTTATTTAATGATTTCTTCAGATCCTTCCGGAGCTTGGCCATCCTATCTCAGCATTAATGGCCCATGTTAAATATACTTCCTGGAAATTTGAAGAACGTTCCAGACCAAGAGAGGGACATCAAGTTCAACCTCAGTTGCTTGGGTTCAAACCTTAACGTGTCCCGTTATTAGCCTTTCTTCTTCTACATTACTAGTGGTTGTGGCCATTCCTCAGAAAAGTCCCCCAGGCCCATCCTCTGCCCTCAAGACAAGTCCTCATTATCCTC